AAAAAAAAAAAAAAAAAAAAAAAAAAAAAAAAAAAAAAAAAAAAAAAAAAAATTTTTTTTTTTTTTTTTTTTTTTTTTTTTTTTTTTTTTTTTTTTTTTTTAAATGTGCTTATAAGTGTGTGTTGAAAAAATATGTGTTCAATAATTTGTCATATCGACGCACATTATTTACCCACAATGCCCTCCAAAAATTGAGAAATGCATTTATTTCAATTTCAGTGTAAGTTTCACTTAAGTTTTTATTGATATTATCTTGTAAAAGTATTGTTTCACTGAACTCTTGTAACAAAAAGGAAAGAAAAACTGATGTATTACCATGAACGCATTTCTTAATCAGTATAGATGAAAGAATGGATTTTTATTCAGATTTAAATTTCTAACTAAACTTTAGAATTAATATTATATTAAGATGAATATAGCAATACAAAATATACTATCGAATTAATTTTTTTTTAAATTTTTATTATTTTTTTTTTAAAAATTGTCTTTTATGTTATAATAAATGTAACTATTCAAGAGAAGTTTTACTTAAATTTTGCTTGGTAATGTTTGGGTAGAAGTTAATTCCTTCATTTATGCATCTAAAAACTGATTTTTTTTTCAGACATAATGCCTTTGAAGAATATTCTCATAAAAATATATTGATAATCATAAAAGTTTCAGACAATGTTGAATTTATTTTCTTTAAAAAAATGTTTTAAATTTTCTTTGAAATTTTTTATGAATTTCCAGTGCATCGATATGTTGAGTTCGACAGTAATTCAAAACTTAATGGATGAACTCTTATTTAAAGGAAATTTGATTTCTTAATGTTCATTAAGCGAAGAAAATACGGATATCTACATTTTATTTAAAAGAAAAATAGATAATTGTATATCTTTTAGATACAAATCTACAATACGTTGTTTATGCTTTTTTATTTTCTCTTCTCACGACTTCCATATTTTTTTTCTTCTTTTTTTTTGTAGGCTATGTAGTCAAGAAATGCTAGGCATTCTAGCGAATAATGTGCTATTTTTATAACTGTTGTGAGTTTTTCATGTCTGTTAAATTTTCTTTCTTTTCTCCCATATTTGTCCACCTTTCTCTAGGCTGGATTATGGAAAATGTCAATGGGAAGTCACTGTTTTCTAATAATGAAATAGTGTTCAAGTTATTCTGTCATGACATTGTTTGGGCTCATAAAATTATACAAAAAATTAATATTATTCACAGATTTCAATGTTTTTCATCTAGCTGAAGATATTGGGGACAGTTTAAAAAAGTTAAATGATTTTTGAAATGTCCGTTTCAAAGCCCCCTCTCCCAATTTTTCTCAAAATAGTTTTTACGTCGTAAGTTAAATGGATACTAAGGTTCTTTGCAATCAGCCACCGACATTTTGCAATAAGCCAGAGTAATTAGAAATGTCACTAGGACATCCTAATCAGCCTAGACACTTTCTCGGCTTACTGCCGTTAACCTCTAGGCTAATTAGAAAGTATATCATTCGTTGATCGACTATCCTCATTTATTACTGGCAGTTTGCAATATGCCGAGAGTAAAGTTTTATTGTAAATTGCCTTCTCAAAGGTTTTATTACAATAAGCCTAATTCAGTCAGACTGAGTTAATTTTCTCCTAGTTCCTACTGAGTTAATTTTCGTCTAAAGACATACAGGCTGATTGTAATAAGTCTAAAATTATCAGGCAAATTGGAAAAACTGAAGAGTTTTCAAATCATCATTGCAAAATACCGGTTACTTTTGCTGATTTTTTCAATTAGCATAGTTCAAAATTAAAGCTTTTATTCGAGTACTCAAACTGTGACTTTTCGAAAAAGCTTCGAAAAATAATCTTAAAATGTCGATACTAATTCTTTAAGGCTTTCTTAAATATATTCAGATTTTCTTTTCTTTCCTTAATATATGTATCTATATTAAGTATATGCATATGTATATTTAATACATGTATATACTAATATTAAATATATATACATATACTTAACATATGCGTATCCTTAATATATGTATTTATAAATTTTCGATAATTTGCATAATAGCCTTCTATAAACCATGATATTTTTCTTAAAAATGTTTTGGGTTGTATGTTGTTTCTTTCTTTTATTGAATCTTTAAAGGGCGATATTGCATTTGATCGCTTACAAATCTGTTCAAATTTTTTTTTACCGGGTTAAGTTCCTATATTTTATCAATGTACTTTGTAATTGTGGTATTTGTCTATTTTTTTTTCTTTTAAGGTTTAGAGCTGATATTGTTCCTATTATATTGCTTAGTTAAACACACGTTCAAAGATATTAAATGTTGTGCTAAGTTCTTTATTTTATCTAAATTTATTTTGATTTACTGAGGTCTCATTCAAAAATCTGTCATACAATTATTTCTATCAAGAAGTAGTTTTATTTTATGTTTATTCCCACCTACGGTGGGCTAAACAAGTCGGAAATTTATATTTTTGATAATTTACTCTTTAATTATTTCTGAATTCTGATTACTGCTGATTTCATATAACAAAATATTTAAGGTGTATAAAAAGTAGACTTGTCGCTCAATTAGAAATGTGGAGTTCATTATTAAGTATTTAAGAAAAAAAAACTTACTATTTTAGTACAAATTCATAATTGCCATTTTTTTTTCAGGTAGGAAATTACTGTCTTCATGTAATAATTTTCTTTTTTAATTGATTTTTTGAAAAAAAGAATTTTTTTACTGACCAGTGCCATTTATCAAATAAACTTCGCTCTCTTTCAGTGTTTAAATTAGTATACAGGGTATTCCTTAGTACATATCCTGTATAAAACAAACAACAAAAATCTTTCGAAATACTGAGGGGAAAAAAAAGACAGTGATAATATTCAAACCTGTTAGCCAATAAACAGACCGGGGTTGAATGCTGGTCAATAAAAACCCCTCCAAATTTCCTCAGATAATCAAACTGGTTTAGATATTTTTCCTTTCAACTACCTTAGAGGATTTTTTTTATTTGTTTATTCCACAGCATTTTTTCCTCACTTAGGGACTGTTCAAATATTACGCAAGTACCTAACGGGGATAAGAAGTTCATAATTTGCTTATTTTTACTGGCAAGAGAAGAGAACGCATATAAGTAATGCTTACGCAAAGACACTAAAATCTCCTTACTTTTATTTACATTTTTAAAAAATAAACGAGAAAAAAAATTATATTTGGTAAAATTTTAAATTTGAAAGATAGTTGTATTTAGGGAAGGAATAAGTTGGAAACAAATTTTTTCGAAGTTTTCAGAGATCAAGATTTTTGAGTTTAAAATTGAAACACAATGGATTCCTGAAAGATAGCCTGCTCAAAATTTTATAAAATGAATTGAAACATAAATTTTGCTGTATGGAAAGTTATATCTTTTTCTTTTTAAATTTAATCCTAAAATTTAAAAAAATCGGGAATGGGGGATTGCGCTGTGACTTTCTTGCGTTAGAGTGAGTAAGCGATTTGCTTATTTTTTGCAACAAGGTAGTAGGGGAATCCAAAATTGCAAAAAACGTGCTTACGTAACATTTGAACGTCCCCTTGAGTAATTTATTTTGCTCAAAATATGCATTAAAGATGGTGATTAAGTGTCCCCCTGGGCTCATCGATACATTTATTCTTATGAAGTGACAACAAATTACCACATCAAAAGAGCACATTTTATTTCACTTATAAAACTCTTTCTCATTAGCGAAATTAAGGAAACTAAAAAAGAAAATTATATATATTAGCTAATTGTTTTGTAAATAATTAACCCAAATCCTCGAGGTAGATTTTTTTTTCTGCTCCTAATTTTCCGATTTGGCGATTTTGGAATTTGTTGTATGTATGAAGAAAAAATTCGAATTGCATCAAAATTTCCAACTCAATTCCATTTTGTTGAATGATTCATTATGAAATGTTCTTTTAGATGGTTATTCAAATGAAAGAGTTCCTAAAAAAAAAGGTTTTTTCCTTAAAAGAGCTTTGATTTGTGTGTATGTAAATGTGTGCCAATTTTTATCGTCCTCTAATTATTTGTGATTATTTGTAAATTGTATTTGTATGGATAAAAAAACAAAGTTCCTGTTTTTTGAAGAATATATTATTCCTATAAAAATATACGATTTTGTATATTCTGAAGTAAAAACTCCTGAGAGAATGAATAATGGGTTGTTTTTTCTAATTAATACTAACCGTGCATTCATTTTTAAATAAATTTACCCTGACTTAGAATACTTAATATAGCTTACGCTTATTTAAATAAATTCTAATGCTGTCTAATTTAGCTTTTTGTTTTTAATATTTCTTTACAAATGCTATGATTGCAATGTTACTCAAAATTAAATATACTACATATTGACTTTCAAATTTTACTCACTGTTGTAAAATAATTTGGTTACTAAACGGAAAAATTACTAATTTTTACAAAAAATTCAGACGTTTTACTTGAATAAGCGAAAATTTGAACTAAACATTAAGAAAAAGAAAGATTAATTCCAAGAATTCACCTAAAGTACTGTGAAATAATGACAATTAATTCTTCCTCTTTATTTAAAAGTACTAATTTTTAAATGAATGAATATTTTTAAAAAGTTAAATATCCTCTCATTTTAGGATTTAAATAAATTTTAAACTGCCTTTACTTTTTTTTTGGTTTGAAAAATTTTTTTTTATAATTACTACATTCTTTTTCATTTAAGTATTTGGATTGTGAAAGAGTTAACCGGTTTATAGATTATAGATACGTTTTACATTAGAGTACTTTATAAATAACCAC